TAAAAGTATGCGGCTCCCGATTGATGTGCGGCATCCCGGGATGATCTCGGCGCGCGATTACGGCCTCTTGTTAATGGAGGTTCCGTGTTTTTCTCAGCTGCGTCTGGTACAAAACTGCTTTTTTTCCGGAGACTTGCTTTTGAAATTGTGGTTTATTAATAAGAAGCCGAATGACCGAAGTGCACCGGTTTGAGGTTTACATTTCCCTGAGATATAGTACTGGGCTACGTGGTATGAACTAACCGTTGGCTTGAAGGTAGAGCCTTCTAAAGCAGACATATTTTTGGGGTATTTTGGATAGAGTCGGGTATGGTTAAAGTGGACCTTCCATGGAAAATTGGTCAACTTTTATGCCAGTCCCCTGTCCCCCCGCCCCCTGCCCCCCCCCCCCACAAAAAAAGCTTCAAAGGGCCATTTATAAACAAAAAATGTTCCCTTCCCTCCAAAAAAGTAAACACCTTGGCCCCAGCCTCCAGCAGGTGACATCACAGGGCCTTCCAGCAGCTCAAAATTCTATGAGAATGCTCACTTGCAATGGGCTGGGGTACATTTTTGTGGGATTTCAAGCTGCCAGCTCTTAGAGGTCCGGGTGTGTCAGGGTTTACATACCCTTTAATTCACTATATTGTAGAATAGAACACTGGGACTTCAAGGGTCCATCCACCATCTGCTTAGCCTTTAGACCAGGCGTAGGCAACCTCAGCACTCCAGCTGTTGTAGAAGTTCCATGAGGCATTCCAAGATTCTGTAGCTGCAGGCATGACTCCTAAAGCCAGAGCCTTGATAGGATTGGTAGTTTCACCACAGCTGGAGTACCAAGGGTTCTAACCCCTGCTTTAGACTTTTCCACAATATGTAGACCCAACCATATTCATTTTGGTAAGCTCCTCAGAATAAGGACACTGGTGGGATTGACACAAAGGATGTAGGAGAACATTGTAGATCAGTATGTTGAAGCAATCTGCGGTGCTGGAGGGGGTTAGGGGCCAGGGTGTGTCAGGGATTACATACCCTTTAATTCATCATATTCTAGAATAATACCGTGGGACTTCAAGGGTCCATCCACCATCTGCTTAGCTTTTAGACTCTTCCACAATATGTAGACACGACCATATTCATTTTGGTAAGCTCCCCAGAATAAGGACACTGGTTGGGTTGGTGATGTAGGATGACATTGTAGATAAGTACGTTGACGTAGTCTGGAGTGCTAGAGGGGGTTAGGGGTCAGGATGTATATACCCTTTAAATCACCGTATTGTGGAATAAAACACTGGGTCTTCAAGGGTCCACCCACCACCTACTCAGACTCTTCCACAATATGTAGGCAATATGTAGGTTTTGGTAAGCTTTGAAGAATAAGGACACTGGTGGGGTTGGCGATGGATGTAGGAGAACATTGTAGATCAGTACATTGTAGCAGTCTGCAGTCCTTGGGTTAGGGGTCGGAGGTCAGGGTGTGTTAGGGTTTACATATCCTTAATTCACCATATTCTAGAATAAAGCCCTGGACTTAAAGGGTTAATCCACCATCTACTCACTCCTCCACAATATGTAGGCCATTCCATTTTGGTAAGCTTTGCAGAATAAGGACACTGGTGCGGTTGGCGATGGATGTAGAAGAACATTGTAGATCGGTACATTGAAGCAGTCTGCAGTGCTGGAGGTGGTTAGGGGTCAGAGGTCAGGGTGTGTTGGGGTTTACACACCCTTTCAGTCACCATATTGTGGAATAAAACACTGGGACTTCAAGGATCTATCCACCATCTGTGTAGCCTTAGACTCTTCCACAATATGTAGGCACAACGATATCCAGTTTGGTAAGCTCAAGCAGAATAGGAACACCGGTTGGGATTGGTGGTGGGAGGATGTAGGATGACATTGTAGACGATTACATGGAAGATAAACAATGTCTCTGTGTCTCTCTTTTCCAGTTTCTGCTGGATTGTATATCTCCGGGCCTCGGTCTGCAATGCTGGAGGGTGAGGCCGTGGTCTTGGAATGTCTCTCCGACATGGAAACGGATATGCAGAATTACACTTTCCAGAAATACAGCACAGTAAGTATGACTAATAGATGCAGATGTTGGATTTCTTTACAACTGCTATGCTGCAAGCATTTTATATTCCCTGTATGACTTCACATACCTCCAAAACCTAAAGGGAACCCAAATACATCTCACCAAACGTCCTTATTAAAGAAAGCCTGTCATGGAGGCTCCCATTATTGACAGCCCGGCTGTTGTGTTGCTCCTCCTATTTTTATACTGAGTCGCTGACACAGGACAAATATACAGATGTGGACTTTTCTCTGACCTGCTACAGTTTGGCAGTCAGTGAGGATCAAGAAATGAAGAGGAACAACATGACAGCCAAACAGCAAGCATTTTCAGAGGCAATGGTAACATCACAGATTAAAGTGAACCTGGACTCAAAAAGATTTTAAAACATTGCTTTGTTAATTGTGCCCAAGTTCAGGGGCATTCCGACGCCAGGTGTCACCGTGGGCGGTTACTGGGTGATACCCCACCATGACGTCACTGTGCATGCGCGGCAATCTTATTGATACCTGCCGGTGGCCATCTTGCTGAGAGAGGAGGGGACAGTCACCCGGCCAGATAAGGTATGCAGCCGGGTTCCCTCCTCTCTCCCGAAACTGACCGGCGCTTGGTCCATGTTCGAGTGCCTGACTTTTCAGAGGGGGGCGACGCCAAAATGACCTTCAGTCATTTTGGTGTCACCCCTCCAGTTGTGTCACTCGGGTGCGGGCCGCACCCCCTCTTGTGACGCCGCTGCCTAAGTTGCACCCTGACCAATGTACCTTTTTGGTTTAAATTTCTGCTGAAAAATAGCCATGTACTTCCTGTAATGTCATTGTGCCTAAAGCCTTATAGCTGTGTAGCGGCAGAGCGAGATCTAGGGCACTGCTGCCTCTGACTTCTAGTCTCAGGAGATATGGAGTGAGGTTTGGTGATGTCCCTTCTGCGTTGCTGACTGTTCTCCTTGCTGCAGGCTCCGACATGAGGAAGCAAAGCCTTGCCTCTAGCAAGATGGCCGCCTTCACATATTGCAGCTTACCAGTCCTCAAATATGGTGTCTGCATTCATCTTCTTTTTTTTCTCAGGCAAAGAGCATTTTCTGCAAGTTAAAAATACTTGCCATAATTCCAGCGTCATTATCACTTCCTGCTCACTAAACCGATAGATCAACCAGTCTTTTGGGATTGGATACAGGTTGAATGTAATGTTTAGGCAGGCTTCATATTGCATGGGCGTGGATAACCTGAAGGGTATTGTGCAATCTAATGGCCATACTCCATACAACCTCCTTTAGACTTCCCCAGCAATCTAATGGTAACGCGCCATACTCAATACAACCTCCTTTAGACTTACCCAGCAATCTAATGGTAACGCGCCATACTCAATACAACCTCCTTTAGACTTACCCATACCATATAATTCAAGGGCCTACCTAGGCAGTCCATGTAATTTGTATGCAATCAGGCAGACTATCGAACTACATAGTCATTGGTAGATCCAAAGGAAATTGTACTGTTGGTGTATGGCCAGCTTTAGCGTCTGTCTTGATAGTCTTAGGGTTCATATTGATGACCTCAGTCTGAGATGCATCTGAGACCATTCAGAATTGATTGTCTGTTGCACTGCCGCTGACCTCCTTCTGACCTGTATCAATCAGAACTGCATTCCCATAGACTTGTATGGGAATTCAAAACCCGCTTGCAGCCAACAAAAGCTGATTGACACAGGCCTTTAGGAACTCCAATGGCAGGAGCCACCTAAGCAACTAGTCGGGCAAGTTTCCATCTACCAACCTGCACTGCACCACCTAGGTCCACAACCTAGACCTGGGTTTGCTCTGGGCCGTCAGGACACTCGGCCTTGGCCTAGATTTTTATTATTAGGTTCTTCCAGGACAGTAGCCGTTCTCCGCACATGTAACCAGGCGGCTGTTTTGTCCGTCCAGTCAGTTATTAAGCTGCAGTTATTAAGCTGCATTGTCAGGTGTCATAATATGGCGGCGTCAGGTGCGTCAGCAGGCTTCTGATAAGCGTTCCGCTTCGTTTGGCCTGTGTTAGAATTTCGGCGTCTTAGCCAAAGGTTTATAAGAGAGAGTGAAGCATTACCCTGAGTCCGAGCCAGGATGTAACCGGCCAGCTTAGAAATGAAGGCAGCTCCGAGCTGTGTGTGTGTGTCATGTGTTCTGTTGTATGTACACAGGATCAGATAACTCGTGATAAACTGCCTGAACCGCCATTGAGATCACATGACCACGCCGCTAGAATAGATCGAAACTCTGACTAGATGACAATTGTTGTGCTAATGTACCGAGTATTATAAACTCTTGTCTGGCTTTTGTTTTCCATAAAATACTTGTCACCTTTTTTAAATCCTTTTTACACTTTTTTTTAATCTCTTTTTAAACTTTGATCCTTTTTTGCACCTTTTCATCTTTTTAAATCTTTTATCTATTTTTTGCACCTTTTTTTTTTTTTTAAAATCCATTTTTGCACTTTTTTAATCAGTTTTGCACTTTTTCCTCCTTTTTGCTAGTTTTTTTAAATACCTTTTGGAACCTCTTCTTCTCCCTTTGCACCTTTTTTTTCATCTCTTTTTTTTGCACCGTTTTCATTCTTCTTGCACCTTTTTGTTATGCTTTTTGCCCCTTTTTTCATTCTTTTCGACCCTTTATTCTTTTTGTAAATGTTTATGCTTCTGTGCACCTTTTTTCACTCTTCTTTTTTATTTTCCATTTTTGCAATTTTTTTTTTATCCTTTGCACTTTTGTTCATCTTTTTTTGAACTTTATCCTTTTTGCCACTTTTTTCATCCTCTTTGTGCCTTTTTTGTTGTTGCTATTTTTGCACGTTTTTTTTCAATATCCCTTTTGCACCTTTTGTTATTTTTTGTGCACTCTTTTTCATTCCCTGTTCTGCCTTTTTTCATCTTTTTTTTGCTGCTGATCTCCTCCTGCATCTTTAAATGTGAAGTTCACCCATTTTTTAAATGTTAGTTTACGTGAGCTACCTCCATAGCAACCAGTCCAATAATATCACCTCCTGTTGCTACGGGCAACACAGACACTTATCTTTTCTCCTGTGTCTTGGCTTCTGCGGTGTCATATGACAAGTCACGAGGAGCCAGGACGTGAAATCCGGTCTAGCAGGTTTTTAATTGATCTTGTTGTTATCGTTGGCGTGTTTAAACTAAACCCGTACTGAGAGGAATCTGGAGGCCGTCATTACGACCTCTCCCTTTGAATATGCTTGTTTCCAGTTGTCCTTGTGCTTTTAATTGCTTATTCCGGGTCAGCAACTTAGCCAGCAAACTAGCATTTTCAGAATGACACAATATACAGTTAAAGTGTACGTCAGGGAATTACATCCCTTTTTAAAAAAAA